TGCCTTCCACCCCTCCATGCCTCTCATCGTGTCCGGCGCCGACGATCGCCAGGTGAAGATCTGGAGGATGAATGGTGAGAGAAAAATGGGAAAAAAACTGAAAAAAAATGGAAAAAATCCCTCGGGATGGGTGAAGGGGAATCATCCCCCATTCCTGCCCTTTTCCTGATTTTTTTTTACCCAGTTTTGGGAGGTTTTTTTTTCCCCCATTTTTTTCTATTTTCCAGGGGTTTTTATCCCCATTCCTCCCATTTCCCTGGGGATTTTTCCTCCCACTCTTTTCATTCCTTTCCTGTAATTCCCCATCCCATGAACATTTTTCCACATTTTTTCCCAGTTTTTCCCCCAGAATCCAAGGCCTGGGAGGTGCATTTGTCCCAGGCTGATTTCTCTCTTTCTCCGGTGTTTTTTTCCTTTTTTCATTTTTATTTTCTCATTTCCCTGGGGTTTTCCCCCCCCTCTTTTCATTCCTTTGCTCTATTTCCCCATCCCATGAACATTTTTCCACATTTTTCCCAGTTTTTCCCCCAGAATCCAAGGCCTGGGAGGTGGGTTTGTCCCAGCCTGATTTCTCTCTTTCTCTGGTGTTTTTTTCCCTTTCTCCGGTGTTTTTTTCCTTTTTTCATTTTTTTTTCTCATTTCCCTGGGGTTTTTCCCCCCCCTCTTTTCATTCCTCTTCTCTATTTCCCCATCCCATGAACATTTTTCCACATTTTTCCCAGTTTTTCTCCCAGAATCCAAGGCCTGGAAGGTGGATTTGTCCCAGCCTGATTTCTCTCTTTCTCCGGTGTTTTTTTCCTTTTTTCAATTTTTTTTTCTCATTTCCCTGGGGTTTTTTCCCCCCCTCTTTTCATTCCTCTTCTCTATTTCCCCATCCCACGAACATTTTTCCCATTTTTCCCCCGTTTTTCCCCCAGAATCCAAGGCCTGGGGGGTGGATTTGTCCCAGCCTGATTTCTCTCTTTCTCCGGTGTTTTTTTCCCTTTCTCGGGTGTTTTTTTTCCCATTTCCCTGGGGTTTTTTCCCCCCTCTTTCCATTCCTTTGCTCAATTTCCCCATCCCACGAACATTTTTCCACATTTTTCCCCGTTTTTCCCCCAGAATCCAAGGCCTGGGAGGTGGACACGTGCCGTGGCCACTACAACAACGTTTCCTGCGCCGTGTTCCACCCCCGCCAGGAGCTGATCCTCAGCAACTCCGAGGACAAGAGCATCCGAGTGTGGGACATGTCCAAGAGGTGAGGGCCACACCCCAGGGCCTGGAAATTCCCACAATTCCCAGCATTGCAGCAATTCCTGGCTGGGTTTTTGGTTTTGTTTTTTTTTTTTTTTTTTTTTTTTTTTTTGTTTTTTTTTTTTTTCTCTCCCAGGACCGGAGTCCAAACGTTCCGGCGCGACCACGACCGGTTCTGGGTGCTGGCGGCGCATCCCAACCTCAACCTGTTTGCTGCTGGTGAGTGCTGGGCTGGGAGCCACGGAATTCCAGCTGGGAGAGACCAAAATTCCCTGGGAGAGACCAAAATTCCCTGGGAGAGACCAAAATTCCAGTGGGAACCACGGAATTCCAGCTGGGAGAGACCAAAATTCCATTGGGAACTCAACAATTCCAGCTGGGATACCCCAAATTCCCTGGGAGAGACCAAAATCCCAGATGGGAGAGCCCAAAATTCCCTGGGAGAGACCAAAATTCCAGATGGGAGAGACCAAAATTCCAGCTGGGAGAGACCAAAATTCCCTGGGAGAGACCAAAATTCCAGTGGGAACCATGAAATCCCAGATGGGAGAGCCCAAAATTCCCTGGGAGAGACCAAAATTCCAGATGGGAGAGACCAAATTCCGGCTGGGATACCCCAAAATTCCATTGGCAACCCAAAAATTCTGGATGGGGATATCCCAAAATTCCCTGGGAGAGCTCAAAATCCCTCAGCCCCCAGTGCTGTCCCAGTATCCCCAGTTCTGTCCCCATGTCCCCATGCTGTCCCCAATGCTGTCCCAGTGTCCCCATGGTGTCCCCATGGNTTGGGAACCCCAAAATTCACTTGGGAACCCCGAAATTCCAGATGGGAAAGCCCAAAATTCCATTGGGAATCCCAAAAATCCAGACGGGATATCCCAAAATTCCTTGGGAACCCCAAAATTCCAGATGGGAGAGACAAAAATTCCATTAGGAATCCCAAAATTCTCTTGGGAACCCCGAAATTCCAGACGGGTTACCCCAAAATTCCTTTGGGAACCCCGAAATTTCAGATGGGAAAGACCAAAATTCCATTGGGAATCCCAAAAATCCAGATGGGATATCCTAAAATTCCCTGGGAGAGCCTAAAATTCCATTGGGAATCCCCAAAATCCAGATGGGAGAGACCAAAATTCCCTTGAGAGCTCAAAGCTCGTGGCTGGGACGCCCCGGGATTCCTGTGGGAGCCCCGAAATTCCTGCTGGGAAACCC